AGGAGTACGCAAGCATAGTTGCACTCTCTATTTCTTCATTCTCATAACTTGATGGTACCGGAGAGAGATCAGACAAATGGCTTTGAATACTTTCTGAGGAACGGAAGTAAAGCACCTCCAACTTCCTGACTCCGGGTTGCTGAAGATAGTTTCTTGTCAGAAAAATCCAGTAACTGAAATTTACCTGACCCGGGATTGGAACCCGGTGCTCCTGATCAACAGCCGCCTTTACGACAAAAAGACTAATGCGGCGGTCAAGTTATGTTACGACCAACTTGTTGGTTGGTAATCGTAATAAGAACTGTTAATGAGTGTGAGGTTAAAATAGTCTGCATTGACTTCTTAAATAAGCAATTCTAAATATCTGATATTACTATATTGTTACCGTGTAGTGGCAGTTAAGAATATCCACTACCCCATATCTTTCCGAGGGTGTCGTAAAATATGACAGAAAGAAACAGGCAGGAGATGGGCAGCAGCATCTTCCTGATAGCAGCAACTGTACAACATAAAAGCTGCAGTTGTCAACCCGCTCGCCAAGCGTGGCAATTATGGCAATATACCCGCCATGAGCAAGACTAATAGATGACCCCCAGCCCCCGGCGGCCCCGCTATTCCTGGCTACGGTGGTGACCATGGTACCGGCGGGGCAGGTAGTGCTAAGAATCTCTGGTGGAAGTTCGTTTGCCACCTACGACGACTCGACCTGGCAACATATAACGCACGCACTCTGATGACCTCTGACTGACGAGAAGATCCTGGAGCTGGAAGAAAGGATGGACAAGTTGCATTGAAATATTATAGGACTATCCGAGGTCCGAAGAGAAGGGGAGGGGGGACACAGGGAGGGCGACCATCTGTCCCAAGGAGCTGTTGGATTTATCGTCCTCAAGTCTCTCGTTAACAACGTTGTAACAACGAGTGTCGACGAGTGTTATGTAACTTATATTCAGAATCACGAAACAATATTCGCTGAAGGTCTTACAGATTTACGAACCAACATTGGCACATCCCGATGCGGAGGTGGAGGAAATGTGTGAGGATATTTCTGGAGTCAAGCATTCCTCCAAAACGCAATATACGGGTTTAATGGGAGACTTCAACGCAAAACTAGGGACAAAAGAAAGCGGTGAGCTGAAAGTAGAGAAGTTCGGAATAGGGCGACGGAACCCAAGAGGCCAGCAGCTGGTCGACTTCATGGAGAAAGAGGGACTCCTTCCAGAAGCAGCCCCACAGAAAGTGGAACCGGTCAAGCCCCGACGGTTCGACAAAAAATGATATTAACTTCATTATGGATGCATGTGGCTCAGGACCGTGCTTTGTGGCATACCTTGGGGAAGGCTTATGTTCAGCAGTGGACTTGTGAAGGGCTGTAATGATGATGATGATGATGAACTTCATTATGACGACTAGACGGCAAATGTTCATTGACGTCTCAGTGATCGCAAAGTGAACAGGCAGCGATCGCCGAAAGGTTAGTGGCACACTGAACTTATACGTTAAGTTGGAGAGGTCTCATCTAATGAAGTCAGCGCACCGTCCCCCCTCGTACTCTGATGCAAAATCCCGAAAGATTTCAATTCGAGTAACAAAACCGTTTTCAGTGATTAAAAGATTGCAATGCAGTGGACAATATGAATGAGAAGCTCGTGGAAACTTTCCTTGCGGTCAAGTTCTGTAAGATCTGCCGCAGAAGTATACAAAAATTCCCCGATCACACTCTTAATCTTATGGCTGTTAGACGGTAGGTGAAGCTGCAGTCGTCAGCAGATTTGACATCATACAGGCAACTGAACAGACAGATCTCCAAATGCATGCGACGGGACTTACGCAACTTTAATACTGTCTTTGCCAGAGATCTGTCTTCTAGAAAGAGTCAACTGTCAAAGCTGAAGACTGAGTTTGGCAGCATCCTTTCTGGGATACGTGAGATTTTGAGAGTGATTGAGAGATCCTATGGACATCTGTACAGTGTACACATGATCGTTGGTAACAAACGCAAATGTGAGAAACGATTCCAGAGCAAGTCGTATCCGACAATATTCCGATGATATTCCGGACGTCAATCTGAGCGAGATTAGAATGGCTCTACAACACCTTAAAATGACAAGGCCCCCGGCGAGGATGGAATTACAGCGGAGCTTCTGAAAGCGGGTGGAACACCAGGACCTAAAGTCCTTCAGAAGCTTTTCAATTCCGTCCTCCATGGTGGCAATACTCCGGAGGCGTGGAGCAGAAGTGCGGTGGTCCTGTTCTTCAAGAAAGGCGCTCTCTTACAGCCTGATTTCTCTTCTGAAACGCGTCTACGTGCTGTTTTTGAGTCATTACGAATCGCCTCTCACACAGACTCAACGACTTCAAGCCTCCCAAACAAGCCCGTTTCCGAAAAGGTATCAGTACAATAGACCACATACATACCCTGTAGCAGATTTTATACAAGACCGAAGAGTACAATCCGGCATTTTGTTTTCCGTGTGTGGACTATGAGAAAGCCATTGATTCCGTCAAAATTTGGGCGGTGCTAGAGTCCCTTCAGCGGTGCCAAGTTGACTGTCGGTATATCGAAGTGTTAAAGTGTTTGTACAGTTGGGCTACTATGGCTATCCGAGTACAGAACCAGAGATCGAAACCTATGCAGCTAGATAGGCATAAGAAAGGATGACGTTATATCCCCGAAACTCTTAACCGCTGGAAGACGTTTTCAGGCTACTGGACTGGAAAGAATACGGTATTAACATCAATGGCGAGTACATCACTCACCTTTGATTTGCCGACGAAATAGTCCTTACGGCAGAATCGATGGAGGACCTAAGCACTATGCTCGATGACCTCAATAGTGTTACCCAACGGATAATAGGTCTTAAGATGAACATGGACAAAACAAAGATCATATTTAATGGTCATATTACACCTTTGCCGGTAGTTGTTTGGAGCATTAAACTCGAAGTTGTTGATGACTACGTTTACCTGGGACAAATTGTCCGACTAGGTAAATCCAACTTCAACCGAGAGGTCAATCGACGGATTCAACTAGGCTGGGCAGCATTCGGGAAATTACGACACATCTTCTCGTCAGGTATAACTCAAAACGTGAAATCTAGATTGTACAACCAGTGCGTATTGCCAGTAATGACTTACGGATCTGAGACGTGGTCCTTCACTGCGGCCGTATGGGGACGCTCAAGGTCACTCAGCGAGCTATGCTCGGAGTTTCTCTGCGTGATTAATTTAGAAATGAGGATATACGTAGTAGATCTAGAGTGATCGACATAGCCCAACGGATTAGTAAGCTGAAGTGGCAATGGGCCGGCCATATAGCTCGAAGAACCGACAACCGTTGGGGAAAAAAGGTTCTCGAGTGGCAGCCTCGTACCGGTGAGCGAAGTGTAGGGCGACACTCCACTAGATGGAGTGACAACCTGGTAAGACATGCAGGAAGTCGATAGATGCAGGTGGCTCAGGACCGTGCTTTGTTGCATTCCTTGGGGCAGGTTTACGTCAGTGGACTTGCGACGGGCTGTAATGATAATGATAACGATGACCATATTGTTACATTCATCTGGAATTTAAGTTTTATTTCATACAGTATGAGATATACGGACGAGAATCCGAATCCCTCCTTAGAACAATGCAACTGTATTTAGTTTTTAACCGACCTCATATGATTTTTGAAGTGAAAACTTCTTTAGCGGCATTGTACATTTTTTTGTAATGACTAAAAAATGTTAAACTCGCATCAGGACACGTGACCCTGATCGAAAATGCGTAAGACGGATGGAGAGAAAGAGACAGCCGGCGCAGCGTAGGAGAGGAAGTATCCCCCTCTCTTTCTACGGCGCGGCGAAAATGTATGCCTGCGCCTGCTGTGTCGTTTAGTTGTGTACGATAGCGCAATAAATAAATATTGTATTCTACCACATAAATGATAGTACTTTTATACTGATAATTTAAGCAATTCGTGCAAAATTATTCCCTAACCATTCCAAAATATCAAAAATGCACAAAGTTAATATTCAAGTTTTCACTTCTGCCGGCACTTCCGGAGTGCAACCCGTCGTTTTTTGTTGTATTAATGTTATGTTACGCAATATATTCGTCAATGACGAACAGATTTTAATGATTATTTTTTATGGGACGATTTTCAGGAGCGGCCCTATAAAATTTAAGGAAAAATTCCGCCCATTAAGAAAAATGTGGTAGGGAGGCTTTCACAGTACTAACTATTTGAACGACATTAAAATTTTGCCTTTAATAAAAAATAAAATCGGACTTCAAATAACAAAATAGAATAAATGAATTTTTACACAATAGCGTTTAAAGACGGGGCTTCAATGTTTTTATGTAATAAATCTTAACGCCTAAGCAATTGCGTGGAAATTATTTAACTATTTTTATTTCTTTAAAGTCGAATCTATTTTTATTTAAAGTCAATTTTTCTTAATCGAAAATAGATGGTGTTTATTATTAGATGGATTGTGTACTCACTCGTAAGCGTATTAAAAAGTCCGACTTGGTAAGTTCAACTTCGAACAAGAGATCAATCGACGGAGAACTCGATTGAGCAGCGTTCGGGAGATTATGAAACTTCTTCTCGTCCGGTATACCTCAAACTTGAATACAAGATTGTGCAACGGGTGCGTGTTGCCAATTGCCATTGATGAGTAATGGATGTAAGAGACGTGGTCCTTCACTGCTGGCCATCCAGCGTTTTATATATGTCACCTGTGTTTTTCAGAATACACGACATTGGTAATCGACCACTGTGTGTTTTATAGGAATTTCCTACTATGCCATACAACACTGAGAATTTTACTTTTGCTAGTAATTTTTCCGTATTGATAAGACTTATGTTATGACTGAAACGGGGAATATGCTGTAGCCTGTAACACAGTTTTCAACTACCACGGGCTACAGAGCTTCAATATGATTCATTTGTATAATTTATGTGAGAAACAATAAATATTATTATTATTATTATGGGATATCTATATTAAGTTTTCTCATCTGGTTGGGTTCTATAAATATATAATTATAAATGAAAATGAAAAGATAATACATAAATATCAATAACATACAATAAATATAAAAGTACATAAATAAATAAAAGCCCAACCAGATGGAGGCCCTCGGCAGGGGAGACCAAACGGCCGAGGGTTAGGGGGAAAGCAAAAGAAACCGACGGACGATGCGGGCGGTATCGAGGAGCACCGCCTTCTGCATTTGAGCCCGGAGCGGTCCGTCACGGAGTCCCAGTCGCCTCAGATGACCCGAGAGGCTGACTGGGATTAGCCCATTCGCAGAGACGACTACAGGAATAATTTCGGTCGGCCAACCACCCCACATGTCGGTCACCTCGTGAGCCAGGTCCAGATATTTTGTTTGCTTATCTGTTTCGGCTTTCACGAGGTTCTCGTCACACGGAATGGTAATGTCGACCAAAAATATCCTTGACTGTGTCCGGTCCATCAGTACAATATCAGGCTTATTTGCAAGAATATTCCTGTCTGTGATGATGTCCCAGTAGAGCCTGGCGCGGTCATTTGCGAGCACGGCTTCCGGCAAGTACTAGTAATACGGCAATTTCCGGTCCACGAGACCGTATTTCAGAGCGAGCTCCTGGTGTAGAATTCTGGCTACTAGGTTGTGCCTGTGCAAGTACTCAGAGTTAGAAAGCGCCGAACAACCGGAGATGACATGCCTAAGTGACTCCCCGGGATGGCGACAAGCTCGACAGACGTCGATGGTGCCATCCTTCAGGATGTATCTCCGATAGTTGTTGGTCTTAATAACCTGATCCTGTACTGCACAGACAAACTCTCGGTTTCCCCGAAGAGGTCACCGAAACGTAGCCAGTTGAGGGAGGCGACTGTATCTACGAAGGGCTCATGTAGAGCCCTGTAGTACCTCCCGTGGAGCTCCTTCTCCTTCCATACGGTCTCCCGGTTGGAAATGCTAAGCACTGCTGGGTCCTGCCATTGCTCGTTGGCCAAGGATAGAGGGGTAAGCCCTTTATCACTATAAATGACGTCATTATAGAATGGATCATCAGATCTCGCCAGGAAGTAATGACGGAGGCTGCACACTTCACGATTATGCATAGTGAGCGCGCTCAGAAAGCCAGTGCTTTCGCGGCAAGTACAGCCTCATTACCGACGATCTCGGATGATGCATCCTATGGGAGACGTCATGGTAGTGCGGACTTTTCTATCCAGGGCGTTAAGTTCAGTCTGAGTCCACCTGAGTATGCCAAAGGTATACATGAGGACAGGCATGACCCAGCCGTTATATGCGTGTGCCTTATTCACACCGGACAAAAGGCTGTTAAGCACTTTGGTCAAGCGTGCATAAAACACGTCGCAAACTGACTGTTTCATACCAGTCTCATCGATACCGATGTTTTGTGACATACCCAGGTATCGGTATGTTTCAGCCTCGGAAAGGGTCCTTAAGTTGACGGGCATAGATAAGTCTACGCCCTCAGAGTTAGCAACCCTTCCCCTTTCAACATGGAGGACCGCACACTTATCCGTCCCAAGCTCCATTCCAATGGAATTGCTAAATTCACAAGTGATGTTTAGCAATTCCATAAGATGGGAGCGACTGGAGGCGAATAACTTGAGGTCATCTTTTATATAGAAAAGGTGGGTCACTTTTGTCCCTCCTTTCCGTAGCTGAAATCCCCCTCCCGGAGCCCTCCAGTAAGGTACTGAGAGGGTTCAGGGAGAGGCAGAACCAGATTGGACTCAGACAATCGCCCTGGAAGATACCCCTTCTTATCCTTATGTGGTTCTCCGCAGCCATCATCCGCTCGCCCAGATGACAAAGGATCGTACTCCACTGCCCCATACACTGCTCGAGGAAGTCTCTAACTGTACAGTCTATCTTGTACAGCTCGAGGACTCTCTTTAGCCATGTATGGGGCACCGAGTCGAATGCCTTTCTGTAGTCTATCCAGGCGGCGGAGAAGTTCCGACGGTTGCGTTTCACCACTTTGCCAATGACCGCGTCAATGAGGAGTGGTTCCTTGGTTCCACGACCACCGCCCCGACATCCATTTTGAGCGCGCGACATCACCTGATTTGAGTCCAGGTGACAAGTGATTCTCGCGCTCAAAATGGATGTTAGTGTCTTGTATATGGTCGGTAGACACGTAATGGGGCGGTATTTGCTCGGGTCTGTGGTACCCTGGTCTTTAGGAACCAAATGAGTGATCCCAGTAGTGAAGAGGCTTGGGAGCGACTTCTGATTGAGAGCCTCTTGAAACTGTCGGGCGAGCACAGAGTGACTCACCATGAACCCCTTCAGCCAGTAGTGATGCAGCCCGTCAAGCCCCGGACTTTTCCAGTTCGGGGCCCTACGGACCGCCTCAGCTACGTCATCCGGCGTTATGATGACGGGGTCCATGGGCGTAATACCCGCACACTGACTCGCCACAACTTCCGTCCAAGGGCCCTCGATGTGGTTTACGGGCTCTGACCACAGGCCGCACCAGAATGCTACAGTGTCGGCCTGATTCGGTGCTGGACCCGTTCCACTTACCATTGCTCGCTCCAATGATTCATAGAGCCTCTTCTGATCACTCTGGAAGAGACGATTCTGGTTGAACCGTGTCGACCTCTCGGTATATCGCCGAATCCGCTTTCCCCAAGCAGCGATTCTCTGCTTCAGATCATCTATGCGCTCCGTCAGTTTTTGCGTTATATCCGGCTGGGAAAAACTGACATTTGTCCCAGCAAACGCCATCCTGACGGTACGCACAATTCTTGGCCTGTTGTTGCCTGATCTGAAGCATATCATTCTGCCGATGAGAGCTCTAGCCTTTGCGATACGTTCCTCAATTCTTCTTCTCCATGCTGGGATAGCGCTACTATGGCCAGTAGCGCGTCCAGCCGTGGAAACCTTGGCGCCTATGATACGGCAGACTGCCAGCGCGGCGCCAAAAAGAATTGAGTCCGTCTCGCAAAGGTCCCGGCTGGCTTCCAAATAGGTCACCAGCATTGGGTTCAGAGCCCTCACGACAGCCCGATTCCGCTTGCTTGGGGCTATGCGGGGAAGTCGCGGTCGATTTTCGAGAGGCGTACTGCGCGTTTCCACAATCGCCTCTTCCAATGTACTCCTCATATACTCTAATTCCAGTTCCTGGGAGACTGTTCCATCATCGTTTGAATCAACCACAACTGGGGTATTCACGGCGGCATCCACGTTTGCGGGTTGCTCTACCATTTGTGGCGCCGCATCCTCAGCCGTAGCATTCTCATCCGACGAGGGAACAGCCTCACGTCGTAGCCGTTCGAGTTCGGCGACATCAAATATATTTGAGCGCAAGATATACCGAACTCGGTCTGCCAGGTTTTGCTCTGTGACGGTTAAAGATGGCTCCAGCTCAGCAAAAAGACGATGCATCCTAGCCCGATACGCCAAACATCCAGTTTCTCCCCCCTTTCGCCCTAAAATACGCCCGCAATGCGTTATTATTATTATTATTAATATGTTCCATCCATTCTTCGTTCGCCCCCCTTTGCTTTAAACAATACGCATATAAAACCATTTTTATAACAAACTATGTATTCGGTACCTACAAATACTTTTTATCAAACAACATCAGACGATTGCTAGCTCTTAAACAAGTTGTATTTCTCATGTATGATTAATTTGTAAACATTTTGCTCTGTGTAACGAGTCATCAGGGGAAACGAAACATAGAGAAACAAATCGGGAGACTGGCAGCAGCGTCTTTATAAAAACGACTAAAAATATAAAAATGCAGTGGCCATCCCGCTTGCCAAGCGTAACAACTATGGAAAATATTCCCCTATGAGGCAATCTAAGGGAAAGGCCTATGTTCAGCAGTGGTCACAATAATAGGCTGCAACGGTAACTGTACATCAAGTGGGCAGTGAACTTTATGCTCGTTTGCCTCTTCTATAAAAAAAAACATTTGTCTATCTTCATTTCCTGTCAAGTCAAATCAAACTGCTTTTTTATCACAACGTTCAATAAAGATGTCGCTGAAAATATTTTCGACAAGAGCTTTATTTGAAGATGACAAAGATAAGGCTGTAGGAATCACACATTTCAAGAGTTGGTAATTCTTTTAACGCTGTAATTGAATCTGTGCAAGCTGTCAATATAGTTGTTATCGCTTAAAAATAGCTTGTAAATCTTTCATTGTAATATTTTAATCAGGCTTGTATTACGACGATAGATACAAAAATTAATAATTGTATGATACTTTAATAATTGTATACTGACGATAGATAATTAAAAGCATAAACATGTTTTCGAAATTAATTTCCTAGTGGCGTTAAGGGTAAAAGTTCCCATAGTTTGAATTTAGCTTCTAAAGATATCTATAATATAACGATTAAAAAATGACGTCCTTATAGAAAGGATTATCCGATCTCACCAGGAAGTAATTAAGGGGGCTGCACACTTCGTGATTATGCAATATAGCCAGCCTATTGCCACTTCAGCTTACTAATCCGTTAGGCTATGTCAGTCACTCTGTTTCTACTATGGACATCCTCATTTCTAAGCTTACCACGCTGAGAAACCCCAAGCATAGCCCTTTCCACAGCTCGCTAAACGTACCTTGAGCTTCTTCCTATGGCCAACAGTGAAGGACCACGTCTCAAATCCATAAATCGTCACTGGCAACACGCTTAAACATTTTACAACCAGGATTAAAAATTGTTTTCAAGTTTTATGGTATAGCTAACAAGAGGATGTGTTGTAATCTCCCAAACGCCACCCCACCGAGTGGAATCCGTCGATTGACCTCTTGATCAAAGTTGGACTTACCTAGTCGGACTATTTGACCCAGATAAACGTACTCGGCAACAACTTCGACCTTAGTGCTACCAACAACTACCGGCAGATGTGTATTATAAGGACGTTCCACACGATTTTTGTTTTTTCCAAGTTCATCTTAAGATCTATCCGTTGGGAAGCACTATTGAAGTCATTGAATATAGTGTTTAAATCCTCCAGTGATTCTGCCATAAATACTTTATCGTTGGCAAAACGAAGGTGAGTAATGTTCCTGTCATTGATGTTGATACCGTATCCTTTCCGGTTCAGAAGCTAGAAAACATCTTCCAATGAAGTGGTGAAGATTTTCTGAGTTATACCGTCGTACTGTCTTACACCTCTATGCACTTTCGATATATCAATAGTCAACTTGGCACCGCTGAAGGGACTGCAGCACCGCCCAACTTTTGATTCCCACCTCACCACATACGCAAGACATATTTGTAGCTTTTACTCCTGGGTCTTCTGTACAATCTGCCGCAGGGTATATATGTGGTCTATTGTACTGAAATATTTTCGAAAACCAGCTTGTTCAGGCTGGAAGTCGTCGAGGCTGCTTGCGAGATGATTCGTAATGACTCTCGAAAACAGCACGTAGACGCGTTTCAGAAGGGAAATCAGTCTATTGTTATTCAAGAGAGTATTGCCGCCCCTTTCTTGAAGAACAAGATCACTGCACTTTTGCTCCACGCCTCCAGAGTAGCCACCATGGAGGATGAAACAGAAACAGAAAAAGAAACTTTTTTACTATAGGTTATATTCAATAAGTATTATTTATAATTATTTTTTAACTATAGATTATAAATAATACTTATTGAAAGTCACTTTTTCTTCAATTTACGGCTGATTTGGAAAAAAACCTCTTGTCCTGGAAAGAACTAACAAGAAACCCAGTGAAACTATTGTTTTTAAGAAACAAACACAAAAAAATTGAAATAGGTTGGTAGCGATCACCCTTCCCAGGGGTTATTATCATCCATAAGTTCCTTAATACTATAATAACTCTTTTTTTAAACAACCTGGGTTTAATAAAGTTTTTGAACTTTTGCAGGTCAAATTGAGAATATTTTCTGGAATTTTTTTTGTAAAAGCGTATACATTGCCTCAAAAATGATTTACTGACTCGGTGGAGTGGAGTAACTACGAGGACGGAAGTAAAGTGCTTCTGAAGAACATAAAGTACCGGTTTTTCACCCGCTTTCAGAAGTTACGTTGTAATTCCATCCTCGCCCGGGGACTTGCCGTTTTGAAGGTGCAAAGGCATTCTATTCTCGCTCAGACTGACGTCCGGGATATCATCGGAATAGTATCAGATAAGACTTGCTCTCGGACCGTTACTCATACTTGCTTCTGGCTTCAACGATAATGTATACAGCTGCTCGTATAATCTCTTAATTTTCTTCAATACAGGTTGTATTGAAGTTGCGCAAGTCCGCAATGCCGTCAAATCTGCTGAAGACTGTAGTTTAATTTTCCGTCTAACAGCCGTGAGATTAAGAGTGCGATTGCAGAGTTCCACAGCGGGTATTGTAGAATTTAACTTCAACCGCATGAACAGTTTCCACGAGCTTGTCAATTATATCGTCCACTGTATTTCTGTCTTCTAGGCACTGAAAACAATTTTGTAACTGCAGCTGAAATTGTCATCTGGGAAAATGCATTCTTGGGACAGATAGTCGCCTTCCCGGTGACAAAATAAATTGCTGGATTCGAAGATTACCTTGTACTAACCCTCTTTTCGGACCTTGGATAATCCTATAATATTCCAGTGCAACTTTTCTATCTCTTCTTCCAGTTCCGGGATCTTTTCGTCAGTCCTCAAGGTGCGTGCGTTATATTTTGCCAGCTCTAATCGTCTTAGGTGGTAAACGAACCTCCACTAAAGATTCTTAGCACCCTCCTTCCTACCGTAACCATGGTCGTCACCGTAGAAAGGAATAGCGGGGCCACCAGGGACTAGGTGCCGTCTCTTTATAAGTCCATCATATACCTCATGTTGCGATAATTACAAAAGAAGTCAGACAAATCAATTTGTGAATAATGTAAGTAATAGTTAATACTAATACTACCTCCAGACCGAATTTTGGTCACGGCAGCCAGCCCCAACGGAGACTAGCCATCGGCGGCCACGCTCAGCCAGCGGATTGGCAACCGCAGTTTTTTATTTTTATTTTGCTTTTATCAGGAAGATGTTACTGTCCATCTTCTGCTTCAGTTCCCCTCAGTCGCCTCTTACGACACCCACGGGAAAATATGGGATAGTGGGTATTTATTCCCGCTCCTATACGGGAGTACGCTTATTTTGTCAAGCGTGCACAAAACATATCGCAAACTGAATGTTCCATGCCTGTCTTATCGATACCTAAGTTCTGTGACAGACCTAAGTATCTGTATGTTTCAGCCACGAAAAAGGTCCTTATGTTGATGGCCATTAGTAAGTCTATGACCTCAGAAATAGCTATTTATACACCTTTCGACATGGAGGATCACACACTTATCCATCCCCAACTCCATTATGATAGCACTGCTAAACTAACATACTACACAAGTGATGCTTAGCAAATTCCATAAGATAGGAGCGATTGAAAGAGAATAATTTGAGATCATCCATATAGAAAAGGTGGGTCAATTTTGTACATCTTTTCTGAAGCTGTTATCTCCTCCCGAGTTTAGTACTGAGAGGGTCCAGGGAGAGGTAGAACCAGATTGAACTCAGACAATGAACCTGGAAGATACCCTTCTATTACTTATGCGGCTCTTCATAGCCGTTATCCACTCACCTAGATAACAAAATATCGTACTCCAATGCCTCATACACTGCTCGAAGAAATCTCTTATCGTACAAACTACCTTGTACAGCTCGAGTACCCTCTTTCGCCATTTCCTATCCAAGCGGCGGAGAAGTTCCGACGGTTGCGTTTAACCACCTTGCCGATGAACGCGTCAATGAGAGGTGGTTCCTTGGTTTCACGGCCACCATTTTGAGCGCGCACGACCGACGTAAATTTTGAGCTCGCGACATCACCTAACTCGAGTCCAGGTGACGAGTAATTCTTGCGCTCAAAGTGGATGTTAAGTCTCTTGTATATAGGAGATACACACCGTCATGGGTGGTATTTGCTTGGGTCTGTGGTATCTTTGTCTTTAAGAACCAGAATTTCAGTAGTGAAAAGGCTTAGAAGCGACTTCTGGTCGAGAGCCTCTTGAAACTGTCAGGCAAGCACAGCTTGATGTTTCCGAGCCCCTTCAGATAGTAGTAACGCAGTTCATCGAGCCCCGGACTTTTCAAGTTCGGGGCCCTTCTGACCGCTTCAGCTACATTGTCCAGCGTTATGATGACAGCGTTCATGTACGTAACATTCGCACACTGACTAGCCATAACTTCCGTCCAAGGGTCCTCGCTGTATATGGGCTCTGACCACAGGCCGGGCTAGAATGTGACAGTGGCTGCCTGATTCGTTGCTGGGCCCATCCCACGTACTATTGACCGCTCCAATGATTTGTAAAGCCTCTTCTGATCATTTTGGAAGACAATTCTGGTTGGACTACGATGCTTCTGTTGACTCTGATTGTAAGTAGATGCAGTGACTCAT